TACAAAATGGTTTTTTATGAATGTATGGATAAAACTTCTGGGATTCAGTACCTCCAACAAGGTTAAGAACCACTGATTTAGAACATTACATACATTATTTAAATTAGATTCCTTAATTTAACTTAAGATAGCACAATAACTTAACCTTTTTGTGCCCCGAGATGGTTGCAACATTTGACAAAAATTAATATAAATTGATAAGTCATACACTCTATTTTAACAAAATTTTTACTGTAAGCATGGCAATATTTAACCTTCATGCCTGCAACCCCCCTCAAGAAAACGGTGTGTCAAAAGGACAGTTTTTCTATTGGCATATGATATGTCCCGAAAAGGGATATATTTGATCGAAGTAGCTAAGTGGGTTTGGCTACTGTAACCAAGTAGTACACGGTAGCAGTAATCGACTGGTACTTGTCGTAGTCGCGGGTAATAAGTGTAGACCAATAGAATAGCCAATGGCATAGTCCAATGGGCGTCGTCATAGACTTGAACTCTGTCGTACCTACACGTCCATCTGTATTTATGACGGATACCAGCCAATCACATTCTATTGAGGGAGAACACAGGTGTATGCATATTCCATTATATCAGCATAGCTATTATTTTAACTACTTCCACTAATTAATCTGGCTTCGTTATTGTAACACTGTACATGTGAAGTACAAAAGAATAAATTCATTTTAGGGATTATGAAAAAAAAAAAACTAAGTAGTGGCTCTGTATATTGTTAAAGATGTGTCATTTCTCTTAAATATACGAGATATAAATCTCTGATATCCTGGAGTCCAGAAGATTCACCAACATGTGAAAATCTTCAATAAGAGGAAAGAAACAACCAACAAATTATACAGGGTCAGCTGACAATTGCATTTGGGTATCATGTTGCAAGTCTTAGTTCACAAAAGAGAAAAACAAGAGAACAGATATGGTGTTTTTGAGTGCTTTTCATTCAACTGTGAATTAACAACTTATCAACTAGCGACAGGGGGGAGGGACTATATGTAAAATGACATTTTCATTCCCTAATTTCTCACTGAGAATTTACACCTCATAGTGAACATACACGCTTGAATCTGCTGAGAATTGGAAGTTTCTCTCTCACTCACTTCCGCTCTCTCTTTCATTGATGAGTAGTCAGTAAAATCTCCCTACTCAGGATAATAAAAGCAGTCAATACACATTGTGCTATTTAACACTATTAAAAAAATATTTCTCTTGGTGAAAAGACATCTAATTTGATTTTCAGTAAGAGACAAAGACAATCCAACTTAGGTATATTGGTTTTAATAAGGCTGTGGAAATTAACAAAACAGCTGTCTCAGTCCATTATGGAGCAATAACAGTGGTTGCCAACACTCTTTCAAGCCATAAATGCTATCATGACAATGTCACATGAGGTTCATTAATTTGGTCAACTGCTGTTGGATCATTTAATATCAAATAAATAAGTCTTATTGGGCAAAAATATGCTGAGAGCCAGGGAGCAACAATTTAACCATTGTCCTATACCCAAGTTTGCAAGCATCTACCCTTAAGATGCAGTATAGTATAATTAACTTGCAAATACTAAGTTGAGCAGAATACACAGGTACTACAGTGAAGCCAGATAGAGTGCACAGGTACTATACTGATCTTGGCAGAGTTCCAGGGAGTAACACTTTGATTCTAGGCAGAGGATACAGATTCTACACTGATCCTAGGCAGAGCACCAGAAAGCAACACTTTGATCCAAGTCAGAGTGCACAGATACTATACTGATCCTATGCAGAGATTCAGGCAATAACACTTTGATCCAAGAGAGAGTGCAAAAATACTATACTGACCCTAGACAGAGGTCAACAACACTTTCATCCGAGGCAGAGGGCCAGGCGACAACATTTTGATCTTAGGCAGAAGGTCAAGTGACAACACTTTGATCCTAGGCAGAGGATCAGGCAATATTCAATATGTCAAGGCAAAGTGCACTAATACTATTCTAACCTTAGGCAGAGGTACAAGGAGCAACACTTTGATCCTCAGCACAGTGCATAGACATTAGTGACTCTCAGCAGAAGTATCAATCCATAGATAAATAATTCTGTTCACTTTTTATGGGTTTTATATATATATATAGTCAAACCTAGAGAGCCAGACAAACCCACCAAGGTTTCACCTAAGCGGATCATCAGAGAAAGCTGGCACAACCTATTGGAACAAAATTTCCCCAAGAAAACTAAGTTACACAAAATATTTAATAAAAATGGCGTCAAACTTAGTTACTGCTGTATGCCAAATGTAGCGACTTTAATTCGCGGTTTTAATAAGAAAAAGACTAGGGATAACCCACGCGCTACTACTTCTAGTTGTAATTGTAGGAACAAAAAAATCTGTCCCCTACAGGGAAAATGTCAACAGGAGTGCGTGGTTTACCAGGCTAAAATTTAGACATAGATGACTGCAATAACGATATAAACCCTAAAGTGTATATAGGAGCTACTCAGGATGTATTTAAAAAAAGATATTATAATCATACGAGTAGTTTTAACAATGAAAACAAACATAGTACTACTCTATCTAGCTATGTATGGAAAATTAGACAGGAAAATAACAAAGACCCAATCCTCAAATGGAAAATATGAAAAAGATGTTCTAAATATAAAGCAGGTCAAAAATTCTGTAAGCTATGTATAGAGGAAAAATTAGCCATAGCTTTATATAAGGAACTTAAAGATTTATTAAATTCAAAAACAGAGATTCTAAACAAATGCAGACATAGAAGATCTTGGTTATTGGATTAGGCCTTGTCTTCCCTGATTATATAGTTGTTTAACCATTTTTGCCCGTGTTTGTCTCTAAATCACCCCCTCCCTTTTAAACTGTTTCGAATAAATTTCTTCTCCACCTTCCCAATTGTTGTTGTTTTTTTTTTGTTTGGTCACATGGTCTTGGTCTTTTGTTTATCGCCTATAAGTATACAGTTTTCTTTACCTCTTTAGCCAGCTTTCCCTGACGATCCGCTTAGGTGAAACCTTGGTAGGTTTGTGTGGCTCTCTAGATTTGACTAGGTCTGCTCTAGTTTTGTATTGAGCACTTTTTTAGTTAGTTAATTACTTGTATCGAGGTTTTTTTCTTTGGGCTTTGGACCTGTATGCTGTACGATTATTTTCGACAGATGTTCGTGTTCCTAGCTCTTTCTTTTTTTAAAACCTTTTTTTCTTTCGAAATTGATTTGATCATTAGCAAACCAAGAAAGCAAAGGTTTTCCAAGGCGAGTATATATATAAAAAAACAAATAGGGCACCTCAAGGTGGTGTAATGGTTAGCAAGCTTCTCTCGCTAAAACAATTACAACTGAGTAGTGAGTTCAATCCTCACTGGGTACTCCATACTTTCGGCTTTGTGCCACATCTAAGCTACACTTGGAAAATCACTATAGGGCACCTCGAGTTGGTGTAATGGTTAGCAAGCTTGTCTTGCTAGAACAATTACGACTGAGTAGTAAGTTCGATCCTCATTGGGTGCACCCTACTTTCGGCCTTGTGCCGCATCTAAGCAATGCTTGGAAAATCACTATATATATATATATATATATATATAACAAAAATATATGTTTTTTTTTTTTCTGATAGATATAAAATGTGTTTATCAATTTTCTAATGTTTTTAAGTAATAAATTGATCCCTATAAAATCAGTCTATATTCATAATGGGGAAAATGGTGTTACTGAAATTGAGGGGGTCCACTTGTAAAAAAAGAAAATTTTTTTTTTTTTAATTTTTATAGATTAGCATTTATTAAATGTTCAAGCCACATTTGTCAGAATCAAAAAATATTGATTTTTTTTTTTTAATTTTTATAGATTAGCATTTATTAAATGTTCCTCAAGCCACATTTGTCAGAATCAAAAAATATTGATTTTTTTTTTTCATTTTAGAATGTGAGGTCCTGTTCAAAATATAAATACAATGTTAAACTGAGCCTTAACTTCTTAAAGAGTAATTGGTAATTTATTTTTATTCACAAATGCCAAGATTGAAATTGTGCTTATGTCATTGATAGCTGTGCTTATGTCATCGATAACTGTCTACTATTATGAACTGGGAAAAGGACATTGTTTGCTCCTTCTGTTTTCAATGAGTCTAAGTCTGCACTACTCAACCCAAGGATTGAACTCACAATTACTATGTTACCAAATTCTAATGCTTCAATTCACTAGGCATGAGACAATAAATAAAAGATTCAGTTTGAAATTCCCTGTAGATTACCCAGAGCGACATAGTGTAAAACATGAAATCTTACACCTACACTGCCTGCTGCTTATCATTCTTGTATGGATTCACAGACATTTTTCTTTTTCTTACTGCTACTGAAGCCTTGCTGTCATCTCTATTTACAGTCCGAGTGTAAATAAGGATCAATCATTATCTATCCTCCTTATCCTCATAATCTTCACTTCCTACCACCTCCTCTTTCATTCCTATCACACACCTCATTCATCATAACCATTTTAACAGTAACCCTCTACACTACAATCTTAACCTCTTCAAGTCAAGGGTCAATCATTATTTATCCTCCTCATAATCATCACTTCCTACCAACTTCTTTACCATTCATACCACACACCTTATTCATCATTAACATTTTGACTGTAACCTCTACCTTGAGAGACTCTTGAGTCTTGATAATTTAAAAAAAAAATTTCTTTAATTCATGATCTTCATTAGAATCTATATTTTACATGCAAATATATATTTATATTTTATCAGCAATTTGTTACTATGACCCAATCGGAGATTATTTACTTTCATATTGCAAAGGTGTGCAAAATGTCTGTTAAAACAATATAAGCTTCTTTCATCTCCTTTAATGTCTCTCCAATTAATAGAATTTGTTCATTCAGCCTCACACTGAACACATTGCTGTCACTGGGCTGAAACACAGTTATAGGAAAAGTCCTAGATTCTCATTTACCCTCATTGAAGTAGTCTTCAGATCTGCATTCTTGTATTGAAACTTACCGTTTGTCCTCATCTTGAGAACCACACTTCATTCTGTTAAGATTCTCAGATCCAGCAGCAGATTTATGGGTGGGATATTCAGTTTCAGCTTCTGTAAAAGGAAAATACAAAATTGTTTAAGAATTGATAAAATTAGAAAAATTAAAAAAGCAACAAAATGTTTGATTAAATTTAATTCAAAACCTGACAGAGTGTGAATCTACAGATATAAATTGATTGGGCCAAAAAGTTTGTATGGTTTATTAAAAATAAAAGACATTTCTTCATTTTCCTCATTAACTTTATTGAACAACGTGATGGGTTGGCCAAAAATTTTTGGGGTTTATTAAGTAAAAATAAAACACTTTTTTTTTTTTTTTAAATTTTAACAAAATTTAAGAATTTAATAAGGACTAGATTGGCTCGTGGAAATTCCATGGGTGTTGATAATGCCGTTACACTTGCCTATCTATTTTGCAATTACTGATAGAATAAGGTTGTTATATGCAGATTGGATATAAAAAAATCTCATAACAAGTAATACTAAGGAAACTAAATTTGGTATCATTTGAAAGAGAAATCAATCTACTTTCATATAAAAATCAACTCATAATACTTGATTTTCAACGATTTTCGAGAGGTTTCATTTTAATTGCACCGACATTACAATGTTCAGATTTTTCAACAATTCAATCAGAACTTCATGGACTGAACAACTGAAATCTCTCAATGGCTGACAAGGTTAAGACATAACAATGCTATGTTACTATGGTGACAGACATTTCCTTGGTGCCAGTTAAGCAACAGGTATTGAATCCATTCCTGTACCTTAACTAGAGGCATGGATAGTGCAAATGTCTAGGAGAAGAAAAACTAAATATTAGGACCTGTATATATGTCTATATTTCTGAGATGAAAAATCGTAACTGTTTACACTATTTACTGTCACATTCACAACGTTTCGACCATTGTACACTCCGGCCTTCGTCAAGTTATATTTGTTTGTTCAAACCAAACCCTTTATTTAGTCCATGGGGACACATGTCCCAGTGGATAAAAACATTGATTGATTGATCCAAAGACAAATAATTGTGAGTTCAATCCCTGACCTCAACCAAGAGAACAAAACTTGGAGAGTTATCAAGGCAAATTAACTAAAACTGAGCAGGGCAGACTGAGCTCTCTTGCCTTGAATGGGTGACCAGTCTAAGAGAAAGAAAACTCTGAATTCAAAACCAGTCTGAAGAGGATTGAACTGAGCTCCATCAGGCTATCTTGCCCTAGACACACCAATACTACCTAGGCTGCAGTACATGTAGTGCCTCTATGATCTTAATGGGTTATTGGGCACACACCTGTTTGAATAGCATCTCAGTTATCTATATACAAAATATGCAAATACAAAAGATGATTTAATTTGCAATTGAAAGTCAAAATCCCAAAATCAAGCAGCTTACAGCCACATCACACTGGAACACCAGTTCCTGTATGATTACCAAAGTTAAGCAACATTAAGCCTGGTTAGTACTTAGATGGGCAACTGGTTGGGAATACCAGATGCTGTAAGTTTGAATGTGTGGGAGTTCAAATTCCTGTTGAGTTATATACACTTAGACAGCAAAAAAAAAAATTTACAACTAAAAATATTTTCTGGCTTTAAATAACTTGCAAAGGGTTGATAAGCCATAAAAAACAAATTAATCAAACCAAAAAATCAAAATCCTTACTTTGGGTTTGAGATTTTTTCCCAGAGGATTTAATTCCAAACAGCTCATCAAGTGTGGACTGTTTCAGCTTTTTAGGAGAGATTCCATGATTCATGATATGAAATCTGCAATAGAAAAAAAAAATAACAGCACTCATATTCAGATAGACTAAAATTATAACAAATCATGATTACATTTTAGCATCATGTGTACTGTTGATAACCATGCAGAGGGCCCATGCAAGGGTCTTGTGATCCCCCGCCCTCCCGAATCTATGATCCACTCTCCTACATCTCAATTTTCAAACGGTAGTATTCATATGAAATACAAATTTTATTGTAACTTAACAATGTACAATAATGGATCATATGCAATATAGGTGAACAATTCACAAATTGAAAATAAATACAATGTATCTAAATACAAATTAAAGACATGTCATAATAGATCATACCATTTTAAATAAATCAACAATGTTTTGCTGCAATTTCTATCAACTTGAGATTTTTCTTGTTAAAAAGTTGAATAATTTTAACACATTCAACATTAAGAATAAAAAAAATAGTGAATTTTATATAGTTTTTTGAGACTTAGCATAAGCAAAACAAATTCATGAATTTGGATGAAAAAAAATAAAAAACAAGATCCCAGAATGATATTAAAATCCGCAAAAAAATTATCATCCTTTAATAGTTGATTGTGCTTAGTTTAATTTGTCATGTATTTAAATGTAGGTAGAAAAATGTAAATGTTGATAAAATAGCGATGGTCACAGAACACCTCCCAGGGCCTCTGAGCATGCATAAAATAAAATCCTTGAATTAAAAAAGACAGATTATTTGTTAAATAGTTAAACTATGCCACCAAAATTGATGGCATATTTCTAACAACCTTTCAATATGTTGGGAAGATTTATCAGTGATATTTATTCCTGGTGTTGTCAGGGATTATGGGCCACTAAAAATATCAGGCTTCATATCACAGGTGTCCCAATCCTGGCTAGTTTCCTTACTATTATTAGATTTTCATATGTGGCTCTTCAAATACATATTTTTCCAATTATCCTATTATAATTGTGCTCATCCTTCCATTTGTTAGTTTGCACAAACATTACACCCTACTAATACCTAATAAATAATGGAATATTCTGTTTTGATCATGTAGAATGAGGGGGAAAAGACACTACTTGGTGTCAGTGAGAAAATGAAAGAAAAAGAAGATATAAGTGGGAAAGAGAATACAGAACAGCTGATACTGAACAGATTACTACAAATAATCTGGTTAAAAAGCAATTGTATTTTCTTGCCTCCCCATACTGACAAGATGTGACACATGGTCAGTTTAATGTGGGGTGTTTTTGAGATTTTGCATCTGGGCCAATTTTTAAAAATTTGCAGCCCCATAAGTGTTTCTGTAAACTGCCATCAATATTACTATCAATGTTCCCTTTTTAGTGCAATGAGAAATGTACTGTCACGGACAGCTGTTTCCTAAGACTGGACACCTCTCAATAATATTTACAGTTGCTCTTTGTCAGCAGACAGAGACACAACTGAGAAATAAAATGTAGTTTATCCACACAAGGACAGATACTACCCTTTGATCTTAGCCAAAAGGTTGAGAGGCAATGGCAACCATGATAAATGCACCATTTTTCAGACACACAGTATTGAATGATAGAAACCAAGTAAGGCAATCGCCAATAATCCAGTTACCATAAGTAAAATAATATCGTCTGTGGAATTATTTTTAAATTATTATTAAGGGAAATGATCATAACAGGGATTTGGCTCGTTATATTAATATGTAGTATTTCTTAGAGGATTAGTTTATTACTTTAAAATAATAGAAAACATATCCCCTACTTTATGTTCAGCAGAATCTTATATTAATATGATTTTAATCATACTGCCAAAAAGTAGTAATGGATTTTTTTTATTTATTAATCCAACAGATTTCATCACTTTAAACATTATTTTTAGTGGATGCCCATATTTGAGTAGATGCTCTGTTTATTTATTAAACAGTTTATTTATTTTTGTCAACCAGCCTGAATATTTGAGAAGTCTTATTAAAGAAAAATATGTATATTCTGCCATGATACGAATATATATCTCTCTTTTCAGGAAAAAAAATGTCATCAGATCTGACATGCTTTAGACTATTTTGGCCATGAAGGGCAACAGCAATCAAACAGTAACCAGAGAGTGTATATTTGACTTTAATAAAATTTCCCAAATATTCAGGCTGGCAGATAAAAATAAATAAATATACCATTTAATAAATAAATGGTTCGTCTACATAAATATGAATATCCACTAAAATAACATTTAAAGTGGTTATATATTTCACATAAACACCAAAAATTGAAAGAATGTATGGTTCAGCACCTCTATCAAGAACCAGTTTAGTATATGTTTACTTTGTCTAGGAGGAAAGTACTGCTTGCTGCCAAGAGTTAGTGCTATATCTGTGCACACTACCCAAGAGTAAAGCATTGATGCCTGAAACTCTGTCTAAGATCAGTGTTGTAACTGTGCACTCTGCCTAGGATCAAAATGTTGCACCTTGGCCCTCTGCCTAAGATCAGTGTAGTATCTGTGCAGGGCAAATTCACTTGCTATTTTAGATATCTGTTTTATTACAGCTAAATGTTTTACACAGACAAAAAATAAAGATAGAGGACATAAATTTTAATATAAATAATGAGAACTCCTTTTCCCCAGAAATTCAGACAGAAATAAATCACTAAACTACAACAAATCAACAGTTAGAGTTAATATTGATATAATATTTTATATAAGTTCCTTCACAGAATGAAAAGTGTCAATTTAGTCTTTCGTCACTTATTTATCCACTATTAGTTTTTGCGTGTGTGCATGTGTGTATTTATACTGATGAGGTATTATGATCATGTAGCAAGAATGACAGCTAAAATCTCATAAGAGCTACACATGTCAGAGTAAGGGTCAGAGCAGGTATGCCAGGCTTAAGTAATTCATTTTGATATGTTGAATGACCCAGTTATGGTCCAATTATATCATAAAATGTGATCTGAGGAAGTAAAAAAAAGTTATCAACTCCTGTTGAGGCATGTGACAGTAAAGACATGATTTTGCAATTTTTTTTTTAAAACTTAACTTTAGTCTGGACCAGAAATATATGAGAGGCACTTGGTTCCCAGAGGAGGAATTTTAATCAGGGTAGAAACTCCAAAATGAGAAAGAATGTACTCTCTGCGGTGTGTGTACATGTAAAATCAAATACCAATATACACAGCTTATCACAAAAATACTTCTTTAGATTTAAGCCCATTTGGTATTATTCAATTCTTGAGGTTTGTTGAAGAAATATTTATTTTCCACTTGTTCTGGTGTGCGATTTGGTACTTCACTTCATGAACTAAACAGTACAAGAATGGCAGTTAGGTCTCATCATTTTACTATTGACATTTCTAAATGTAACAATAAATTCTATTCAGATAGTTTCTTCTATTTTAGATCTGACCAATAACACTATTTATGGCAAAAAAATTTTCAAATTTTTAAGATCTTCAAAAATTTAAATGCAATGTCATCTTGTCTATTTGAATCCTGTCCTTTTTGAGCCCTTTTTCCTTTGAATGTTTTTTCATTTTCTTTCTCTCAAAATTGTCAGTGGCTTTATTTTTTGCCTTAGGGTGAAATGATTTAAAAAAAAAAAAAAAAAAAACAAAAAAGAAAATGTAACAATTTATACATTTCAAAAAAATGATGACTATTTTGTGTATGTTTGTAAATATTGCATGATAAAAAGAAACAAAAGTGGAAATGATGAGGAAGTGGAAAAGCTTATAACACGCTTTGCCAATGTCTGTTGATCTTGGCTTCTTCAGGCAAGAATAAATTACAAAACCGTGTATAAATAAAATGCATTAGGATTTTTTAGGATAAGAGGGGCAATAAATTAAATTACCTTGAATTACCTTTTAAATTAAATTGCATACAAAATATCAGGTCATCCCATAAGTTCTGTCCAAATTTTGAATAAAGAAAACAAGTGACCAAAAGTTACATTTAAATACAGATTCAATCAACAATGTATTTTCCCTGATTATCTATGACTTCCTTCCATCTATTAACAAGCTTACTAATTCCATTACTGTAAAATTCTTTTGGCTTTGATTCGAAGAACTCACAAATGTCAGTTTTAACTTCTTCCTGTGTTACAAAAGCTGTTTCTTCCAAATGATTCTGTAAGCTACGAAACAAATGGTAGTCTGAAGGAGCAAGATCAGGAGAATAAGGTGGATGAGGAATTTTCTCTCAACCAAGTTCTTCGATCTTTTGTGACGTGATTCTTGCTGTGTGGGGTCGCGCATTGTCCTGATGAAACATCACCTCTTTTCGATTCACTAGAGCAGGTCTTTTTTTCCTCAAAGCTTGGTTCAAACGCTCTAATTGCTGACAGTATATTTGAGCATTAATTGTTGCATTAGGTGGTAAGAATTCAAAGTGGATTATTCCTTGGCGATCCCACCAGATTGAAAGAAGAACCTTTTGCCCATGAAGTTCCCTTCTCGGCTGTGGCCCTTCCCTTTACCAAGCCACTGTCTACGACGCTTAACATTTCGATAAAAGATCCATTTTTCGTCGCCAGTCACAAGTCTATCCAAAAAAGGTGAAACAAGTTGGCAAGAATGGAGAGAAGAGCAGATGTCAACTCGGGATTTGAGGTTGTTTTCAGACAATTCATGAGGCACCCATTTTCCAAGTTTAGGAACTTTTCCAAGTTGTTGAAGATGACGATGAACAGTTGTATGGTTTGAACTGAGAACCACTGCCAATTCCTCAACTGATAAAGCAGGATTTTCTTCAAGGGCTGCTTCAAGAAGCTTTTCATCAAACTCAACTGGACGTCCGGTTCGATCTTCATCTTCAAGGGTGAAATCTCCACCTCTGAATTTTGCAAACCATCTTCTGCAAGTTCTTTCATTCACACATTCCTCTCCATAAACTGAGTGAATGTTTCTAGCCGCTTCAGCTGCTGAGTTTCCTTTCTTGAACTCATAAAGCATTATGTGCCTCAAATGATTCTTGGGTACTTTCATGTTAGCAGGGTTTTAATCAAACAAAA